AAATCTAGATTATAGATAAATTATGTTTGTTTGAATAAAAATCAACATTAATTTTATCAAAGATATTTACATATAATTTCAAAAAATCTTTAACTGATGATTTAACTTGTTGATGATTCTAATAATAATTTTTTTTAAAAATCGAAATATTGAAGACACGTATTCATATATCAAATATATTTCACATATATTTCACAATTGTATATAGCTTCAATTTTTAAAATACAAACCTTATTAAAAAAAACTCATTCTTTGAAAAATCAAATTACTTTTAAACATCAAACAATTTCTCGTATAGAATATTTTCTAAAAAAATAAATATATATATAATGGTAAATATATATATCTAGGTTAGAATTATGTTTTTGAATAAAACTCAATATTAATTTTGCAAAGGTACACATTTTCAAAGAAAATCTATAACTATTTAACTTATAGATAATTCTAATGATAATTTTTTTAAAAATCAAAAAAAATACGAATAATTTTGCACTTTGCTCGCTTGTCGAGTACGAGTATCAATATTGATTGTTAATAATTATTCCTGTGATAAGCACGTTTCCTTACGAATTGCGTCAACAATGAAAATAGATAGGGTTCTGTAAATGTAATTAAAGATTAAAGCATTACAATTTATGATAATGAATTCGATATTTTTTAATTCGTCGGATTACAGTTCGCTATGACATTGCTACCACCGACGGCAGAACAACAGAAACGGATAAACGAGGAGGTTTCGACAGATCCAGAAACGAAGAAACGCGATGTGGCTGCTTTACGCGATTGGCTCTCGAAACAACCTCATCTGCCTAACCATATGGGTCTGAATTTCTTTCTATCCTGCGAATTAATTAAAATGAAAATTAAATAAGAAGATCGAAAAATAAATATAAAAAAACAAATAAATTTAAGAAATTTTAACAAATTTATATTTTAAATTTTGTTTAATCTTAAAAGTATTATTTAATTTCAATAACAAAAAATATTTTGAAGTGAATATGTAATTCTATTTTCTCTTTTCTCTATTTTTGATAAAATTATTATTTAAAATTCTACACTAGAAATATTAAATTGAATACACTTTTTTTTACTTTTGTTTATTTTCAATAAGATTGTCTATTATTCGAAAATTAAATTTACAATATAATTTTTTAAGAAAAAAATTATTAAAAATTCGCCTTTACTTTGAACTTCTATGTTATGGAAATTCGCAATTTTTTAAATGCAGACGATACGAGGCTCGAGAGATTTCTGTTTGGTTGCAAAAATAGCATAGAGAGATGCAAATTGATTTTGGAACGATATTTCAGCATACGTACCGCAATTCCAGAATTTTTTGCCGTTCGAGATCCACTTGCACAAGAAATTCAAGAATGCTGCGAAGCGATGTAACTATTTCATTAATTAATTTGTGATTTTCATTTTTTTGGAATTTAATTTAATATATTTTTTCAATTAGCCAATATTTCATTTTACCATCATTAACGGACGAAGGACATCGAGTGACGATTTTACGATTAAAGGACAGTGCGATAGATAAATTTTCTATTCAGACCATCTCTAGAAGGATTCTTATGGTCCTGGATACTCGTCTGATAGAAGAACAATGTCTATCAAATATTATGGTGATCGATCTCGAGGTAACTGCAAAATTAACATTATTTTTAAATCGCAAATCTTTTTTTTTACATTTGAATCGTTGTATCATTTCATTATTGAAATAATTTCAAATCGAATAGGGATTTGGTGTGGTTCATTTTACGAAATGCAGTCCAACTCAGAGTATTGTTCGTAAGGCAATGTTGGCAATGCAAGATAGCATGCCATTACGACTTCATAGAGTTCACTTTCTTCACGCTCCTGCATTCATAGAAAGTATTCTAAATATATTTTATCCTTTATTGAAAGTTCGACTCGTTCAAAAAGTAAGTGATATTTAAATATTTAAAATATAGATTATTAGGTTTCATTTATTTTATGTAAATATTTATCATTTTTAAGTTTCGAATTCATACTGGTGGTGGTGAGGAATTGCATTCTTATATGAACAAAGATATACTTCCAAATGAATGGGGTGGAAAAGCAGGCACTTTGGATGAGTTGAATGGTTTGTTAAAATTTTTAATTGTTCACATGATTACATATTTGAGGAAATTATTTTTATCTTTTTTTTATTCAAATAATATTTTTAGACGCATGGAAAAAAAAAATTGAGAAAAACAGAGACTGGTTTTTGCGAGAGGAAAAACTCAGTCGAACGAACGAAAATGCTAGACTTCCAGAATCAAAAACGAGACTTTTAAAAGAATTGGAAGGATTACAGGGTTCTTTTAGACAACTAAATATTGATTAAGATTTTTTGGGTATATTTTTTATAAATTTATTTTTGTTTACTTTTTATTTTTATTGTACTTTTATATTGTATTTAAGATTGTATCTAATAAAAAAATATTAAAATAAAAAATATTATTTCGTATTATTTTTCAACATGTATACAAATGATTTAAAACTTATACTTTTATAAATTTTATGTCAAATTTTACAAAGTATAGACAAGGAGAGAACATGGAGGAAGAAGGATAGAGATAGGATAAAAATGTGGAAATCAGCGCCATCTTCAGAGTGCCGCAAATGAAACTCAATACACAAGGACAGAAAATAACTGAAAAAGGACAGAAATATATCAGAAATAACTATCAGCGCCATCTTTTGAATATCAAATACATTTCTTGAAATGTATTTCTTGAAAACATAGTAGATAAAGAAGAATAAGAATTTACAATCAGCGCCATCTTTCAATTACTTTAAGAAAATATTCAATCTCATAATATTTTTATTATTTAACAGATGGCATTGATTGTTAATTCTTGTTCTACTTTATCTTGTTTTTGAAGAAATTTCTCTGTTATTCAAAAGATGGCGCTGAGAGTCAATTCTGATATATTTCTGTCCTTTTTCAATTATTTTCTGTCCTTATGTATTGAGTTTCATTTGCGGCACTCTGAAGATGGCGCTGATTTCCACATTTTTATCCTATCTTTGTCTTTCTCCCACCATCTTCTTTCCTTATTTATACTTATTGCAAAGTTTATGTATATATATTCAAGAAACTCCGATATTTCATTAACTTTATTAATCTTTTTTCCTTCACTTATTGATTAAAATCTTAACAGAATCATTTTAATAGAATGTATACACACTTTTTCTACAAATTTCTTTTGTATTATTAAAATTCTATACGAGATGGAGACTGAAAAAAAAATAATATAAAAAAAAAGCTCTGATTTTGTAATAAAAATAGTTTCAGCGATTACTGGCTCATTAAACTTATCTTTTGATTATCAAAATGTTTTTCAGGCTCGAATTCATCTTATTCTCTTTTTCAATCATACACATATATAAATATATTCATAATCTTCTCATATTGTATCTGAAATTCTTTGTGCAATGCAGAAATCATTTCTCAGTCGTATCATTAATCTTATCATAATCTTTCCATTTAATTCGCATGAAATTAATTCCATTTTAAAATCATTCTTAATTTCTATTAGAAAAAACCACAATTTGTAATTCATTCACAATTATTATAAATTTACTTATAATACTTTTCATCTTTTAAAAAGATGCAACTTTCTTAAAAAAATTCGAAATCTCGTTCGACTTTTTTCATCGCAATTCGAAGTTCATTTTCAATTATCATATCTTATGATATCCCTAAAAAAATATTTATTTTGTAATTGATAAAATAAAAAAATAATTAATAATTAAATATCAACTTAAAATATCAATTAAATAAAAAAATAAATGCATATTCGATCTTAACACTCCAACAACCACTTAGATATAATGCATTGCAACGTGTTCTAAGTTGTTGCGTTTATCAGTCCTATACACAATTTAAACTGTTACTTAACAATCAACTTCAAACACTTAAGTCCACCTCAGTGTCTGTCTTCTTTCGTGTTCGTTTAACGGACTTGATGAGCTAATGGTAGCCCAAGTTGAGGCACAACAGCAATGCAGAAATCCCTTTCGGCTGTAATCTTGCGGATTGTTTGCTCGTAGTCGCGAATTGCACGTAGTCAGAGTATAAGATTCACAACAGCTATAAGCCGGCACAAAGGAAAAACAGTTGTTATCAATTATCATGCGAAGGTGCAACGTCGTTTGCAAGGAAAACGCAGAAAAAATTGCATTTTTTCGGGATCGAAAACGTGTCGTATAACGTGGATAACAGGTAAGCGTTTCACCAATATAGAAAATATCATCTACAAATAAAAAAATATATATAAAAATATAGAAAACAAAGAATACAAAATATTATTATTGCATATATCTCAAACCTCAATGTTCAAAGAAATTCAATGACTTTTAGATTTTAAACATTGCTATAATATTTCAATTTGAATAAATAAAAAATTGCAAAGAAATTGCATTTTGCTTTAATATTTCAATTTAGATAATGATAATGAAATTCTCAAATTATCAAAGTTCTATTAGACTTATAACTTTTATCTTATTCCTTCTAACAAATAGAAAATATAAAATACATGAAAAGATGCAAGAAGGCGCAACATCTCGAAGTCATTCGACGTCAGCGTTTCAATTCAATTACTGCGCAAAAGGTGCATTGCGATGAATAAAAAATGCATTGAAATGGAATAAAGCATTCAGCGTTTAATAAAATTCACTGGAATATATTTTCGTGGTCATTTTCAAGCCTTCTATATCACGCAATTTGAAATTTATGCATTATGCTAAAATTTTTCTTATGTTTTCGAAGTAATGCATTATATAAGCATTATTCCAATTACATGGATGTATGTCTTAACGAGCTGGAACGAACAATTAATTAATCGATTAAATAATACTATTTGAATGGATTGCATAACGAAATGTTTCATATTTTCTTTACCTATGCAACAGTCGTTTTCAATTTTAATTTCAATTTTATAATATTACAAGCAATTTCTTGAAGCAAATCAAATAAACAAGTTTCAAAATAAATTTTCAAAAAATGAAAATTCAATTATAGTCTATAAACCAATTTAAATATTATAATCTTCAAAGTATAGTATAGTTTCAAAAGTAATTTGGATTCTTGAAGCTTTAATATTGCTTCCCAAAATAACTTCAATATTACAATGAAATTCATTCATAACTATTACGTAATCATAGTTCCCAGACTCATTGCCAATTTCATTGCAGAACTTTCATAAAATGAATTTACAAATGTAAAAATACTATTTCAAGCCTTCATACTTGGAAATCTTTTTGCCACGTTGCATTGAATAATAATTAAGTTATCCACTTCTTCTTTTTTCTTTTCTAAGCAGTCATTTTTCCTACATTAAGATTCTCTATCATCATCTCTTTGCGACATTCAATAAATTCTTTATACTGTCAAATATTTCAATATGTAATCATCTCTGCATCTTCCTTTTAAAAATCCATTCTAACAAATCCAAGAAAAATCTCCGAAACATCATCGATCGTTAGAATTCTAAAACTGAAAATTGGCCCAAGGGCGATCGATTAGACAAGTACAATTAATTCGGTTAATTTAATGATGGCGACTGTGGCCGCCAGATATACAATCCTATCTTGCCGCACTGTACAAGGGTGGATTGATTTTTCACCCTCTGACGTCATGAGCGAGGCTAGCATGCGCGTGAAACAGATGCCAACCGTTCCAATGCTTTTTATTTCCACATCTCGACTTTTTTTTTTGCGTAACTTGCCGGTTGATATCCCTTTATCGAAGTCCTATAATCTCGATGATCAAAGTCAAATACTTTCCTAATTCACAATTCGAAACAGTTGGCTCGTTAATATTTGCTTTTAAATTCAAAAAATAGAAAAATTAATTTTAATATGTGTATAGAATAAATTATATTTTATAAAACAGAATTTTAGATTTGAAAAAAATCTAAATTCTTTAAGATTTCTTTTAAAAAAATTTAGATTCTTAAAAGACAACAATCATATATTTATTATCTTAATTTATAAAAAAAATATAATAAGCACTTCACAAGTAATGTTGTATCAAGATAAATCATTATCATACTTTAAAATTTTTTAATAACTACAATTAAATACTAACTGTTATGATATAAATCATTGATATCATGACATTCAAAATCTCTCTAAAATAGATAAGTTAGGAATAAAAAGATAAAAGGGTGATATGCTAGCAAAGGAATTAAATAAGACACATCGGAGTCAGAGATGAGTTCATTCAATGTTGCATGATTGGTCGACTACTCGTTGTTTTCTCTCGCTTGAACTCTCCTCAATGCCTATATTTCCCTCCTTTCCTGTCTCGATGATTCTCCCTTCCTGGAGCTTTGATTCTCTCTTCCTCCAGTTGATTTAGAGGGATAGAGAATTCGTCGTCAACAATTGAGCTGATCCTTTGAACGTGCACATGTGCATTGTCGAAATGATGGGATATATTTATCTAGGAGTCTATTTCTAGGATATTAACTATCATCAATTATCTGAACATGCATTTCCTATTTGCTTGAAGTTATTACTCCATTTTCTTATCAAAATAAAATTTTGTTGAATAGTGCACAATCTTTTTTATTTATTTTGAATAATTTAAGATAACTAATCTTCTTTAATTTTTAAGAAACTCTTTGAAACTCGTTTGGAAATAAAAAATAAATAAAATCTAATATAATGATAATTACTATATCTAATAAATTATAAATTTCCATCTGTAATGAATTATTATTAAATTTTTCATTTAATATTTTATATTTTATATTTATTAATTAAGTAATAGAGAAATATAGAATAAAAACCTGGAAAAAATTATACTACACTATATCCATATTCACTACGAAAAATTAATATCTATAATCGTTCATAGTAAATGTCTAATGATTAATTACCTTTAATCTTTTCAATATGTATTTATAGATGCCATATTAGTCAAAAGATTATAAAAGACATCCAGATTTAATTCCATTTTGTTTTCCAATCAGAATCTCACGAAATTCCAATCTTCATAATCTCTAAATTATTAAAAATGTTTGATTAAATTTCAATATGTATTACATTTAAAAAGAAAAAAAAGTATCACAGATTCTTTAACCAAATGTCAATATTAAAACGAACTAAACGTGATGGACCGTCGAACGACGAAGGCTGATCTAAATCCATGAGGGCTGTTTACCACGCTCGACTGCTTCATCTGCTCCCCACTTCGATTCGCCAGGACGTCAGCTGGAACTTGCGTGGTGCGTCCTGGGTGTGCAGCGTGCCGCTGCAGCTTCTAGTCCATTGTCACGATCCGAAAGACGATAGAGACAGAAGGAAAAGAAAGAAACTTGCGGTGAAAATTATCGACTAATCAGACTTCGTTTCAATAAGACTTGTATCATCGAACTTGGACCTACGTAACCTCACTTTTGTCACTTCGTTCGTCCCGTTTTTCATTTCGTATCATAAACTCGCGTTAATGGAACACGAGTTTATGGATTCGTCTTTCTTTAACAGAGATACTGTCCCATTAAATATCACAGTGCGTGTAAATAGACGTGATTTCGTGCATTTATAAGATTCGTTTCATCTATGCAAAGTGGTATATGTAATACGTTGCGGACATAGACGGTACGAGCGTCGAAACTGTCGCATGTCTCGCATTTCATTGTGCCCGAAGAAACCGGCGTGAATGTTCGTATTAATTGAATAGTATACGTTGATGAAACGTCTTTTTCTGTGCCGATTTGTTGGCGTGATATTTGAGTGAATATATATTGGAAGACAGAAAAATAAAAACAAGAGCACTGCCAGTATCAGAATCGTTTGTCAAATAAATCAATCATCTTCTAATTTGGTAAGTGAAACAATTTAAATTTGAACATTGCAATGACGCAGAACATACATATACGTTTAGATGCATTCAATTGACACATCAATCTTGCAGTTGATTGTTAACTGTTGCTGTTTATAAAAGTTAAAGAATTATTTAAGTGTTTTATTTTCCGAGAGAAACCAGAATCCATGCGAAAACATCATTACGTGTCAACTATTCATATCAGTGTTCTCTATCTCTTTGTCTAACCTTTGTTCTGACTTATGTAAGAGACCACACTGCGTGCAGGCTATGTCTCTGGCGTAATACGTTGTTCGAAGCGATCACACGTGAATTTTTTCCTATCACATCTTTATAGAAAATATAATTTATTTAATTTCACTCTTCGATAGAAAATAACTCCATCAATGATAATATCTTGTTAAAGCAATCTTGATAGATGTCCCGTTGTGCGTCAACAGCTGATTGATATATCTATAACGAGCAACTTCGCTTAACATTTTATAACATGATAAATGTAAAATAAAGATTTAATATCGAAACGAAATTTAATTTGAAAAATATGTCTTTGTTAAATTCTTGATGTTTTAATTCTTGAAAAAACATACTAGAAATATCTTTGTTTAATGAAAATTTTATTTTTATTATTCTGAGCCATAGATAATAGTTTGAATGTCGTGATGTATGTTACTTAATTGTTCGATTGGCCAGATGCATAGATGATTAAATTAGGATTTCTAAATAGTATTCCAGTCTGAAAATGATAGCGATGAAGAGTAGCGAACGTAATCGCGTGAGCGTCGAAAGCGATTAGTCGTTAAAAGAGGTCGGCAATAGGAGCAGCGTTTACTTAATTAATGCGGCCGCTACGCGGCTCGTTGACCCCGCTGCAATTCTCGGACTCTTGGATTGTCCTTCGACGAAATTGATTTACCGGCCGGGCAGGGACGAATGCTGTTTCTCCGTCGGTTCAAATGCGCCATCATTTTCTCTTTTTTCTTTCTTTTTTCTTTTTTTCATTTCTTTTTTATACTTTGCTTTACCTCTTTTCGCTCATTTTGCTGACCTCTCGACAATTTTGTTCTTCTGCAATGCGTCAACGGACTTTCTGCACGCAATATATGTCCATATCACCTTGAAGTTTACTTTCAGCAGTAAAGCAGATTTCGATAAAATTATTCAATTTAGTCGAAAATTAGAGTGATTATTATAATAGTAGGCTAATCAATATAATATTCTGAATTAGAGAAATTGTTGTATATATTTTAAAGAAAGGAATTTTTTTATATATAATTCTAGATGGAAGTTGAAGATCGTTAATAGGTTATGTATGAATCAAACAAGAAAAATTTAAATTTATAAAAAATCATTATTGAAGATATACGATTTAAAAATCAAGAATTGTCTCAAGAATTATTGTGAACATATATTGTGAACATTAATAAAGGAACAAATATTAGTAAATTGAAATGAATTTAAAAAAAAAATACAAAGCGTAATTTGTTTATTTCTCTTGTGGTGAATTCTTATTCATGAGCAATTATCTATATGTATACATTTGCATAATTCACTTCTCTTTAAATGATCAAGAGCTCGTCACTCAAAATAATTTTTCCTTCATCTTAGATAACGAGGCCTTGAGATAACGCTGCCTGAAATCTATGGGAAAAGGAAATCATCAGTTTCTTCAAATATATCGAAAGTTTAAATGCTTTTCGGTTGAAATCATTTTCTGATACCTACCGAACCTCGACCTAGTTGGGAAGTTTCATTCAAAGCCGCTGCGTAATACCCAAAGTGTTTCTCATCGTGAATGAACCGTTCGAAATTAATCGTTCACCCTGCTGAAATGAAACGAAAACGAGTGAATGCTAACATTTATGGACTAATGTCATTCGTAAATAAAATCTAAATAATAACTCAAAATAAATAATAATAGAATAAGAAAGATAGAATTAAGAATTAATAGGAATTTAGATAATAAATTAAAAAATCGATGGATTTTATCCTTGAAGATAAGAAACAAGATTTTAGTGTTAATCTTTTTATGTATATTTATTGTATTTGTATATATTTATATATATTTATTATTTTTTGTATTATTTATTTACATATATAATAATTAAGTAATATCTTCTTTTAATGTAAAAAGAATATTTTAATTTTTTATTTTTTTTTTTTTTTTAGTTTTTAGCATAATTTAAAATAA